ATTCGCGGGGTTCCTCGATAATTCGAGAAACTCCAGCGCGCATGCTCCCAGCGTCACGCGACTTCCGCCGTCGTAACACTATTTTATCAAAGAAGTAATTATTTATATAACCTTTGAATATTTTTATATAACTATGTTATAAATGCAAAGTCAGATGTAAAAAAAAACCTTTACAAGTTGTAAGCACATTGCTTAAGAATGACAAAGCCTACAATTTTCAAAAACCACTATAAACGCTTAAGTTGTAAGTAAGCGAAAACAATCACCCAGAGCTACAGTTAATTCGATAACAGTCTAGAACTGAGCGCTAGTTTCGATTGTTACCTGAGAGTGTAGAATTCTAAATATGTATAGTGTTAAGAACAGATATACACAATTCTTATACCAAAACTCGTATTTTTGTATACACATTTATGGGATTTATAAGTTTTTACTTCCAGTGCCATTTAAGATGTCATTGAACCATATCATTCATTTGATGTATTTACAAAAATATAAAAAGAGTTCTCAAAACGTAATATGTTCCCTGTTAAATATTGTACTTATACGTAGTTTAATAAAAACAAACTTAAAATATTAGGTATCGTATCGGATTGAGGCCAGACGACTTGGAGATATCCCATCCATGTGGGGTGATTGTAGTTTGGCAGAAAAAGAGCTTGGCTGGAAAGCTGTGTATGGTTTAGATCAAATGTGTAAGTAAATAATTTGAAGGCAGACTAACTAATGTTTCCTATATTGAAAACAGAACCATTTTGAGACCGTAATTGTATAAGCAAACCATTTCAAGTTCTTTTTTCTTGTCAAATAAATTACCTTTTCATTCGAGGTCCTCCTCGAGAGGTTTTATCAAAGAACCATATACATTCTTCCAATCGAAGACTACGAAACCTTGAAAAAGGAATATACCAAATAGTCAGGTTTAAATACAAAGTGTATATCCTGGAATTACTTAAAAGTGTTTTGCCAACATATACTATTTCACAACATTGTGATGGCTCATTATTTGCAAAACACAAACAAAAGATTTTTTTATGTTGTTTGTATCTCTTTAAATCTAGTTTTATACTCAATGCTCCAGTTTTAACTCACGTGTTTCATAAAGAAAGTTTTACAAGTAAAATGTTGAATATGAAAAAAAATTGTGAGTCATATTTATTGTGCTTTTTTCTTTGTTTTGGGAATGTCTTCTATTATCCAGTATGCTCTACTTTCTTTTAAAAAATATTGCAAATATTTGGGGCCTAAGTTTTAAGCAAAGCAATTTTTCTTTTTCTGACATTAACAGTTATTTATCTTATTACCAAAGAGAATTAATTCAATCACTAAACTAAAGGTTTTCCATGAAGTGTAAATTATAGGACTATCATCATAATGCATTGTATTAAATACATTATACTCAAATACAAATATATGACGAAGAAGTGTTAAAAATATCTGTGTAATTATGTATATTTTTATTCAAATATTAATTTTCTAATAGGTGAAGACTTTTGGCGTTGGCAATCCAAAAACCCCACAGGATACCGATGTCATGTTGAAGACAAGCATCTTGCATCAAGCAGTGAAGTTATCAACACAACTAATGGGCATCTTAATGGAGTCCTCTGTTAATCATTGTATTGATTTTGAAGCGTTTATTTTGACTGAATGGGTTTCCTTTTTCTTATTAAATCTATTTTGGAAGACAGAATCTTGACATTTCTTTGAAAACAAAAAACAGATGACAGTGGTTGGGAATACAATCACATTTGTCTGTGGTGTGAATAATACGGATTCAATGCATAAAAAACTACGACTTTAACTCTTAAAAACTAATGCTTACTAAATTTAGTAAAGCATTATATTTCTTGTTCTTAAAGTCTCACTTCGTCCTCACATGAAGAGATTTTAGCCAATGGTTGTAATTAAAGTTTTTTTTAGTAACATATAATGAATAACAGAAAAACTGACCAAGACATGTACATCTAGTCTATCAAATGCAACTAAGATATTGTGTTGGAGTATGTGATATGTTCAAACAATTTATCTAAGATTCCCATGAAGCATATTCACTTTAGTTTTTTTTCTTTTGTTTGTTTTTACGCAAAGCGTTTAGAACTAAAAACACATAATATGATACATAATTTTCAACAAGTTTACACTTCGATGTTTTACTATAAATATGAAAGTAGAGAGATATTGATGACAAAGGTCACACAGATTAACGTCTGATTAGAATCATTATGAAAATATATAAAAACATGATTAAATAAAAGTCAAACCGTATTGATGTGTGCGTTTCTGTGGTAGATTTGCACGATTAGATTGACGTATTTTCATGATGTCAAAATACTTATATTCATTAGACAAATAACGTTATTGTTCAGTGAAATAGGTATTGTTATGACAGCTGAAGTCACGTGACGCTGGTAACACGTGATGAGATTCAAGAAGGATCGGGGAACCTCACGAACGTCCCAGCGTTTGCTAGACGCCCTCTATTTTTAGTATATAAGCCGGCAGATAAATTGATAACGGGGGATAATTGAGTCAAGCCGGAAGTAAAGTGTGTAAATCATTGTGAATTATAGCGTGTGTTCAAGTTAAAGTGACTATGGAAATTCTGTGTATTACAAAGTTGTATTGAAGAAGAATAGACTAGTTTTATTTAAGAAAGGACTTGTATCACTGAAGTTCCTCGGGAAGAATTTTTACGGGAAATTAAGAAACAAACAGAGATGTAACAGTATATTAGTTGAAATAAAAATTGTAACATCACATAGTAATAATAACCTGTTTTGTTGTATATGCATAAAACTATCATGTATACATGAAAAAAAAAATGTAATGTATGTAATATTAATCTTTTATCTTATTTCCAAATATATCAATTAAGAATCTTAAGCTTCTTCCTAGGCCAGGTGGTTAGGGCGTTTGACTCATAATATTAAGATCGCGGGTTCGAATCTACGTCCCACCATGTTGCTCGACCTTTCAGCCTTAAGTAATCATATCTTTCGAAAAAAAAACTGTAATTTTTTTTCATGTAATGAATGCTGATTTCATATAAAAGTTGTAAGGAAGGGATAAATTATATACATCTTTAATATCTTTTAACCAAAGTTATGGTGTAATTTCCGCATCACGAATCCTACAAAAGCCAATTGAGCCTGATGTTACCATTAAACAACATAAACTTCACCGGAAAAATCCACCTATGTTATTGAAAGACAGGAAAGAAGAGATTTATTGTATTACAAAAAGCAAACTGAAATTGAATAATGCGATTTTAACTTTAACCTTTCTAAGACATGCAAAAAAGAAAAGTCGACACCAACTTTCCTAAAAATAAAACTGAAACTCTAGCTCTACGTAAAAATTAGAAGTATTATACAAAAATGTCTTAACTCTTTCCATCGTCCCAGTGTTAGATTTAAAAAAAAAGCTTTGTAGAATTTTGCAAGAAAGTAATAATAGAACCAAATCGATAATCCAATCATCAGCAATTAATCTCATGTCAAAGACCACAAGAAAAGTCAAATTCCAGTTTATCACAGGACAACGAATAATTACATGAAATATTCAAAATTGCAAAACACAAAAACAACTTAATGAGCAGTTTCCTACCAAACCAAAAGCATGTCCATTAAAAACTTCTTAGACGTATTTAGTGAAAAGAAGTTCAAAAATACTAAAGAAAAATAAGCCTATAAAACAAAAGTTGACACAGTAGAAAGAAAAGACCCAAAATTTCTTAGAAACACTGAAGAAATCGTCATCCAAAGAGCAGAAAAAGGAAATTCTTTCGTCATTCTACCAAACAAACAGTATGATTCCTTAATGGTAAATAGTTTGAATGATGCATCTAAATTTACTCAATCAAATATTGACCTTAACCCGACAAGCAACAAAAAATCGAGCAAATTACTCAAAATTTTATTTTAAAACTATCACTTTTAAAATTTATAATATTTTGCGTACAAACCAACCAAGAACACCAAAAATCAATTGTTTACCATAAAACACAATAATATTATACCTAACTGTCTTCTTATAACTCTTTAAACTGTAAACTTGGCAAATAAATAGTTTAAACAGTAACGTTATTACGTTTAGCTTTGATGTCATAAACCTATTCACTCAAACCCCTTATCATGAGGCAATACAACTTACTGCAGAAATTATTTCCCCACACCCAAAAAAAGAAAATCAACATAAAACAGGAACACCTAATCGAACTGTTATAACAATCTACAGGTATTTACTTTCAATACATAGATTCGTGCTTCCTTCAGTTACGTGGACTTGCCATGGGAAATCCATCATCAGATACTTTGGTTACTCTTTTCTTCCATCACATCGAACAACATATCATAGTCATTTCCATATATAAGCCTAAATTTTGGATTAGATACATTTTTTACAAACAAAATTCCTTTAACACATAAACAACCTCACATAAAAAGATAAAAGTCATAGTTGAAAATGAAAGTAATTCCACACAATAAATGTTTTAAACGTTAACATTACACGAATCTCCAAAGCTTCACTAATAAAATTTAGTATAAAAATACATACAGCATAAATTACATATATTTATTGTCTAATCATGTAATCCACCAGAAGCTAAGCACTCTCAAAATACTTCTAAATTTAACATACACAATGGGCTATCTGCGCTCTGCCCATCACAGATATCGAAACCCCATTTATAGCGTTGTAAGCCTGCAAACATACCGCTGTGTCACTGGGGATACACTATATGTATTACAAAAAACATCGATGAAGAAGTTGTGCACTTATTTGAACGCTTTACTAACGGAAATCAATTATCTACTAAAGTAGTTACTGAAATTTTTTTTAAAACACCGACACTTCACAAAACAAAGGAAACCTAATCATAGTGCAAGTGTTGTTTAGTTTGTTTGTTTGCTAATCAAGAGTCTCTCAGAAATTTGGAAAAGACTAACACATAAATATAACTTTGACATAATGCCAATATTTATTTTCACACCTGGAATGAAAATTAAACACGTGTGAAGAAAATGATGCAATATCCCACCCCACCAGGAAATGTTTACAAAATAAAGTGTGACATTTGCCCAGCCTTTTACATAGGTAAAATAGGACGTAACTTGAAGATCAGGTTAAAAAAACACCAAGAACCCCTTCCAAAGTGCATGAACATATAAACAAAAACAACTACTGAACAGAATGTCACAGTACCAGAACATGGACCCGACATTAACAGAAGAAAAATCAGAAAAGCCTTATTAATAAAACCAAATAACCCTACAATTAGCAGATACCCAGGCACATCTCTATATGTCCTTGAACGTTATTTCTCCGGACATTCCTAATCTTATGCAAATATTTTGCATAACATATTCAATATCTTCATATCTATTCATTTTGTTTAGATTTTTTCCTGTTCAGCTATAAATAAAATAATATCTCAGTTCAGCGGAAAAATATGCACATGCATTAGTAACCACTATAAATTCTAATACGTTGTTAGATTGGTTGTTGATTTAAATACTAAAACCTTCTTTACCGTTAAAAGTTATGTACTTGAGAATGATCATACCAGTAAGTAAACCCCAAAACGAAACTATTATTGTATTCTGTTGTGTATCCCAGCTTTCCTGGTGAGTCCTAGTATTAGACGAAATGCCTCTGTGGCACTGAACAAAGCAGAATTAGTGTGGTTCATCGACATATTGTTATAATTTTTTCTTTACTTTCATTCGAGCACAAGTTATTGGAGTATGTATATTTTACATTTACGACTGTTTGGCATAGAGATCGCTGCAGTAGTGATCAGTGAGGCACTCCCATTTGATTAAAGAAGTATTTGACTGTCGTTTGTTTTGAGATTGGATGTTGTCATTTATTAGAGTATATAAAAATTATGGGGTCGGAAGTGAATAAGAAAGTGGGTGCAAAAGTCACTGACAATTTATTTAGAAAAATTTTCGACTCTTTATTATGGACATGTGGTGAGTGTTAGCGGTGTTGTAACAATGAATGCACAAAGTTCATCTCACTAGATTTTTGAAATTTAATTGATACTGAAGTTGATATTATTATTGGACACGCAATTTACTAAAACCATGAAAAGACGTGAAACAGTTTTTTTTTATAGTTTTAACAAACTGTAGCTAGCTAAATTTTTTGTTTACTCTTACTATTAAAAAAATAAAAATTACAACTTGCAATGTCAAAATGATGTGTAACTGTCATCATAGTTTACAAAACATTAAGTTACAATCTTACTCTCAGAAGTTAGATGTTTGAAGCAAAGAAATCTGAATTAACTTCGTATTTTCTTCTATATTTATATCATTAAGTTTCATCTTATTAATTGTCATAGATATGACATGGTTTCTTTAATTCATGTTACTTAAGTTTCTTAGTAGTATTGTTCATTACTATTCATGTTGTTTTATTTGTACCAAATGTATGTTGTTCTCCTACAGTTTAAAAGTAACAAAGAATTGTACAAATATCAAGGCACATGATGACTTATTCCTTTCTGTTTCTAGGCAGCTAAGAAATTAATATGTCATTAGAGACTTTTATTTCTCAGTTCTATAAAGAAAATAATATATAGACAGGAGATTGGTTAGTCTTTCATTCAAAGATATCTTTTCACACCTGCTATTGACAGAAAGTAAAAATTTTACACATTCTTTAATTTTAAGGAAGCTATTGATTCATTTCCTTAAGCCAAACGCCCTATTAGAAAAAATAAAGCTGTTTTAATTAGAGTTTAATCTATATTTTACAAGTCTTAAACTTGTGTCCTATTGTCCTTAAGAAACAACACAAGGAAATTAGAAGTCTTTGTCCTATCAGTCTCCTTGCCAATTTTGTAAACTTAATTAGATCACTTCTTACCCTTCTTTTCTCAAAAGAAAAATAAGCTAAATGATCTTGACTTATTCTTATAGGATCACCTTTCTGTCCATGGAATCATTTTAGTATCCCCCTGCTGAACTCTTTTCAATAAGTAAGAATCCTTTCTTAGATAAAAAAGACTGCAAAAACAATATTCTATGTAAGGCCTAACTAGTGGTATGTATAAAGGGTTGTATAATTTTCTGTTTTGACTTGTAATTGTATTCATTATATCTGCAAATACACCCTAAAAGTTTATTATCTCTGCTACTAATAACAGAGCACTGTCATGATGGACTGAATAACATATCCATTGCAAAGTTATGATTCTTTTCTTCAGTCATGCTATTAATTGTATTCCTATGTATATTAAATGTGTGGCCCAAATTGTGAAAACTCAAATGCATTACATTGCACTAAATATAATTAAAGATCATTTCCCAAGTATTTTTCTAACTTTCCAATCAATATCCAAGTCTTTCTGTAGTGTTACAGTACCCTTAATATCACTAGAAATACCTACTATCAATAAACTACTAATTTGCTGGTTATGTCCCTATCAATATCATTATTGTCAATAAGAAAAGGCAAAGGCCTATACACTGAACCCTGAGGCATACCACTAGTAACCAAGGTCCAGTTTGACTGGACTCCATTAATTAACCACAATTTTGCTTTCTCTCACTCGGGCACCTTACCATCTAATCAAAATGTCTTTCTCCAATCCCCACTTATTTTATTAGTTGATTTTGTATGACACCTTATCAAAAGCTGTTTAAAGATCCAAGTGTACATCTGTTTCATCATCCAGTTAATAAAAAACATCCTAAGAAAAATCAACAGATTAGCAAGGCAAGAATTAAATTTAGTAAATCCATGTTGAATTGAGTTGGCTTTGTTTTTTATATATATCTATAAGAACATGCCTGTCTTCAGTCAATATAGCATATAACATTTAAGGACAACAAGGACTGTTTGTTCATCGATGTTGTCACATTCACTAAAATAAACTTTTAAAAAAATCAAAGCTGGCCTTTAACATTTCGATGTTTATCAAGCCTTCTCTTAAACTCTCTTAAATTTGTTGCATTCACTACATCTGAAGTCAACTCATTCCAAACCACACTGTTAGAAAAGTAAAATGGTCTTTGCTGAAAATGACTCCTCTTTGCCAAAATTTATATTCATGTTCCTTTGTTTAACCATTCTCAACATTAAGTAGGAATAAGAATGATGCATCCACACTATTATCCCCCCTTAACAGTCTTAAACATTTCAATCAATTAGATTCCCTCTAATTTTTTTATTTTTTTTCAAAGAGAAAACAATTGAGATCTTAATCTGTCCTTGTATGACAACTTTTCCAGCCCAGGTATAATCCTAGTAGCCCTTCTTTAGTAGCACTCCTTTTAACACTTTCCAACAATTCAATGTCATTCTTAAGGTAAATTTAAGAGAGCTCAAGACTGAACATAATACTCCAAATGAGGTCTAATTGATGACCTGTACAATGAAATTATGTCCTCTTTAAACTTGTATTTAGCATTTCAGTAAATATAACCTAAAATCCTATTTGCCCTGCCGCCCTCCAGTGGCACAGCGGTATGTCTGCGGACTTACAACGCTAGAAACCGGGTTTCGATACCCGTGGTGGGCAGAGCACAGATAGCCCTTGTGTGGCTTTGTGCATAATTAAAAATAAACAATAAATAAACATTTGCCCTGCCACTAACAACAGCACACTGCTTTGATGGCCTACGTGACCGATCAGCCAAAACACCAAGATCTTTTTCTTCCATAACACTATTAAGGTTATTCCCATCAAAGCTATACTTTAGTTTAAATTATGATAACCCACATGCATTACATTGCAATGTTTTTTTGTTGTTTTTCTTAATTTCCTAAATCTGTCCCACACCATCTCTTAACTCATTATCCCAATTCACTAATTATAGGTCTTATTCAAGGTTTCAAAATTGGATTTCTGAAAACTAGGAACTAAAATTCTATTTATATCAGTATGTAGCAAAACATCAAACAGTATTATGCAATGATCACTCTTTCCCCAAATGCTTCTCCTCTTCAACTCTTACCTAGCATATGGACAGTAAGGGACCACTTGATCTTTCAAGGCTATCTTATTATACCCACTCTCAAGAAAATTAAAGATTTAAACCCACCTTTATTTTTCAGGAAATCATCAATTCCCCTCTTAAACTCCTATGAATTACTGGCCTCCACTGCTGACAAGAGCAACTTATTCCATATGTCATTCAATCTGTAGTGACTAACAATAAATCTGAGATGGCCTGCTTTGTAAGATGAAAGTATATGTTGAGTTATGAACTCTGCATACCACGTGTGCTTAAGAAAGGACAAAAATAAAGAAGGATGAAACTTGTTCAAAGAAATATTGAATCATGATAGAATTTATGTATATTTTGTTACAAGAATAGGTAGTATATAATATTTGCATTTATTAGTCTATATGACACAAACCTTGCACCTTATTTTGTCTTAACACTTTTTTTTTTTCTTTTTAATAGCTTTGGTATTCATTTGCTTATCCGTTTCCGGAATATTTCCTCCAAACCATTCGTCATTTTCTTGCAATGATGTTTCAATACAACATCCATTTGGAGGAGATACCATTGGTGCTGGAATATTGATCACAACTCTTATTTTTTGTCCCATCTTAGTGGTAATTTCTTTTTATTTACTACGTTAAATAGTTACTACACAGAACAATACTCTCATGGTGACAGAATCTAAAAGCTATACCATGAATTTTGTCATTTATTTGATGGTTAGGGTTATTTGTACATCAAAGTGGGAAGAAGTGGAATTTATTACTCAGTTAATCATCAGGCTTATGAATAGATTACATTCAGCTTAATGATTGTTCTCACATGAGATTAATATTCTTATTTTTTAGCTTGTTTCAGCCTTTTTTAAACACATTATTGAACTATCTGGAGTTCAATATGATAAACATCATCAAGTACAACAATTTAGGATTAAATAACGTTTTTAAACCTAAACTCTTATTGTAATTAAAAATGTGTCATAAACACAGTATAGTACAAAACCTGAAGATACAGTTAATACTGATCTGTGGTTTTCTTCCCTCAGATTGTTACAAGACTAAAACTATTGAATATTTGTTAAGGAAAATAAACATTACTTCCTGGCATTGATTATATATATCAGAAGAATACTAAACAGTGACTAGTGAGACTATTATTAAGTACAGGTAAACCTATGTATGCCTAATTTAGGGAATTGAGTTTCATACAATCAGAACTATACTGAGACAATCAAGCACATGGTGGTGTTAATCAAACGTGGATTCTTTAAGTGTATCTTCACTGTACAAAGGGACAATAAATGTAACAGCCCATGCCATTTCACTTGGTAGAGGTATAGAAGAGTGAAATTATCAAGGGTATAAAATTAATTGTTTTGTATACAACAAAATTTCACTGTGAAGTAAAGCAAACATTTATTTTCAATCGACAAAATGCATGTTTGACGCATCTTTATCCTTATTAATGTCCATTTTTCATTGCACATTATGAAGGTTATATTGTATTTGCAGGCTATTTCTAAATTAACAAACTTTTGTTTTCCCACTTCAGTGCTTCCTATCTAGTTAAAGCTAGTCATAATTTAGTATAGTCCTGTTCGTGTAAGTTGGTTAACAATTTATTTGTGTTACATGCTAATGGACTGCCGTTAGTCCTTGTCTAGTAATTTCTGACAAACACAGTTAAATGAGCAAGTTATTAAGCAATCACCATTTTCTGTAAGTGAATAAAGAATAATGAATATTACCTTGTCATAATCTTTTTTATTATTATTTTACCAATGAAGTAGCACTGGTTATGTTTGTAGTTTTTAATAAATAAACAACATATTAGGTTAAAGCTACATTATTGTTTTATCTAAGCAAGGTAAGCACAAACATGTATAACTGTGGCTAATTATGTAACCAGTGGTCATTACAATTAGGCTACAGTCTAACCTTTGTGAGTTATGAACAAGCAGTATGCGTGCATACCATAGCTGGAAGGGAAGCATGTTTGGTTACAATGGGAATTGAACCCATGGCCTTGAAATAAGGAGCCAACCACCCTGTTTACCAAACGATGCTACCCTGAAGCTAGACAATCCTGAATTAATAGATAAAATAATGAGAAATCATGAAGGCAATATATCAAGTACTTGGCTAGTTGTAATAATAAGAAACACTAATTTCAATAAGTTGATTATTTTTGTAATTTTTGAATTGAAATTCTGAGTAATCATTAGTTTTATGTAACATTAATTGATGTTTATAGTAATTGAGTTAACCATCCAGTTCTTTTGCACAAATTTTCAAAACCTTTAATTTTAAGAAATGCATGTTTTTAATCATTAGTTCTAAAATACTTCTGTCAACATGCTCTTAATTCAGTGGATAATTTTGAGGTTCAATGTTGCCAGTAAACTTCGCAGAAGAAAAACACTTAAATGATGACAAAATCTAAAAGCTATACCATAAATTTTGCCGGCTACTTTTCCCTACACATTTTCACAACACTACCAAAACTACTGAATTTTTGTTCATAAGAATAAATATTATTTCCTGATATTGTTGATAGATCAGAAAAATATGACACATAGCAGTGAATAGTGAGATTACTATTATTTCTCCCCATTTTGTTCTTCAAGTGTTTAAATCTGATTATACATATTAAATATGTTTCCAAAGATACCCTTGATGTAATTATTTTAACTTTATCTCTCCAACTATACCTGTTCATCTCCTAGGATTCCAAACCCCATTTAGCAGAATGAAGACAAGTAATGTTACAAGATAAGCTAAAAGGTTAATCCCTAGCTGTTGTTAGCTTGTTCTCCTGAACAAAGTGTCATCTAAACTAGAAAGTCATGGTATTGGATTTTTAGTTATAGATGCCAATTTGTAATGTTTAAATCAGATTCTGTGGTACTGCAGTAGACCATAGAGAAATGTATGTCAAAACAGGATAATTTAAAATGCCCAATATTCTAAGCCACAAACTATTATAATTGTACATTATAGAATAACAAAGAGCCTCATATTTGTGAAATTGAATACCTTTTATTTCCTTCTTTTCAACTAGTTTTTTATCACTGAAGCAGTACATTATTATCCCATCACAACCAGGGCTCATTTTCAACATTATTACAACCAGTGTTCAGCAGTACTAAAGAACTTCCTATTGGGATTTCTTTATGTATTTTTTGTAACAGAACTTTCAAAGTCATTGGTTGGTGAGCTTAGACCTCATTTCCTGGATACATGTAAACCTGACTGGTCAAAGATCAACTGTTCCCAAGGGTAAGATATTGAGCAGTAGTGTATATATGTTAATGCTGAGAGACAGAGAAATTTACCAGGGCATGAAGTATATCAATAGTAATACAAGTTTGTGGAATCATGTGGGAAATTCACAACACATCATTTGTGCATGATCAAAACAATTCTCCCAGATAAGCTTTTAATTGCTGTTTAGTTGTTGTGGCTTTTTAAATAATAGGTAGTTACACCTATGTATGACACTATAATTGCATAATCACAACAGTCACTTTATGTGACTTAGTGTGTATGTTGTTAAAAACTTATTATTATTTTGGCTGCTTAATGTGCAAGTAATTTTTTTATGTACGGTGCAGTAAGATTGCTTAAAGTGATGTGACTGTGAAATGGATTTTGCCATTTGATTAAAAACATGAAATATATTGTTGTTGCAAGTTAGTATTATATTATTAATATCAAAAAGCATTTCTTTATCTAAAACAAAATACATATATGATAAGAATTATCAAGTGTATTTATCATAAAATTTCATAATTTTATATTCAATGAAGTTTTAAATTCAGATAAAAAAAAGTGGTGCAAGAAAACAATGCAAACATGTGATAGTGTTTCAATTAGATATTATTGGTTAGTAATTTTAAAAGTGTAATAAAAAAAATAGCTTGTTATTATTTACTTTTACTTAAAAAAATAATGTTTTGTGTTCTAAATTTTTGCTGATATGTAGTTGTATGTTCCACAGAATACACATACTTCTGTTAAGTTTGTAATTCTAACCTGTATTCTGTTTTTCATTTCTATTAACACAGATCTATTTATTTTTAGCACACTTTAGTAACAAAAGTACTTTATAAAGACTCAAAATCAAGTTAAGCTAGACATACTTATGTATTTGCACAATGCAGTGTTGACTTACTATAGTACTGTTTAGAACACCTATTTTTGGATTACTTTTCAACTTTTATTCACATTGCATAAAGTTTTCAAGCTGATGAGCCAAGAAAATAAAACAGTTTAGCAATACTTGATTGATATCGATCTGTACTTCTTCATACTTTTTTTTTTCTTCAAGAAAAAATCTAATTATGATACTAATGCTGTGAGCCAAATGTCATGCATTGAATTATTTCTTTTTCAAGTATAGTCACTGACAAGAGTAAAAGGCTATTTAATGCACACTGTGAATTTATAATGAATGGTAGTAAATATTTAAGTGTACACACAAACACACTAAATGTGATTCTCAGTAGATAATGTTAACTATTATGTTCATATATTTGAATATACAATGCAACGGAGGTAAATGGTTACAACACTGAAAGCAACGTTACTTGATACGAAGAACCATTCTTTTGCTCACACACACAGATATTTTTCTGTGTAGACTCGCCCATATAGCTTATGAAATTCATCTACAAGAAGTATTTGTAATTTCAATGATATTCAATTGCCTATGCTGTCCCTGCTGTATTTTATTAGGCTTAGTTTATATAGATATTAATTTTGGGTCAATATTTTAAGTCACTTGTATGTATATTCAATCCTTTGCATTGTATTCTTTTTGATGACTGTGTATGCAGTTGCTTATAATCTCTTCTATTTCTCTCAGATGAGGGATTCTCACTAAAACTAGGTTATTAGTGGATTTTGTTAATCAATTAATCATCAGGTTCATTAATCTTTTACATTCAACTAATTGATTACTCTCATGAGACTAATCTTCCTATTTCCACTTGTTTTTTATTTTTCTTATGACATTTTCAAACTACCTTCCATTTAATATAATAGACATCAGTTACAACAATTTATAATTTAGTTACTTCTTTTTGACCCTAAACTGTTGTTGTAAATGAAATTGAATAAAATATGCAATTAGTACACAACCTACAACAAGCTGAAAATATTATTAATACTGTTCTATGGGTTTTCCCCTTTACAGCTTTTCACAAAACTACTACAAATACTTTATTTTTTGTTGCTGAAAATATATCATAACATTGACTAGTGACAATGTTTTAGTTACGTAGGGGCCCCAGCATGGCCAGATAGAAATGTTAGCAGAGAGTCATAGTATTTTTACCATCACTTAGAAACAAATAAATAAATATCACACCTCCACAGGTAAAAAAAAGCAAGCATGCTTGGAAGCAACAGGAATTGAACCTGTGACTCTGAAATCATGAAGCAACCACCCTAATCACCAGGCCATTCCATACTGAAGCTGAACAGTTTGAATTAATCAAGAAAGTAACAATAAAAAATCATAATGCAATATTTCAATTACTTGGATAGTTGGAATAGCCAAAAATATTAATAATCAGAAATTCTAGTTTTATTTAGTTGATTATTTTCATGAATTGTGGCACTAATTGAATAAGCTCAACAAAACCTGAATTAATCAAAACAATAATGAAAAAACTGTAATATTAATGTTTTGATTACTTGGATAGTTGGAATAATCAAATAATAATCAGAAAAATTAATCTTGATTAGTTGACTATTTTTGTGACATTAATAAGATTTAACTGTAATTTCATTTAATCAAGAATTTTATGACATTAATTGATGTAGTTAATCCTTAATTAATTGACTTAATCACCAAGCTCTATATTCTCATCCCATAACCACAATTTATAAATATCTTTTTTTTTTAAAATCATGTTTTTATAGAAGAAAATATACAATTTTGTAAAGAAGTAACCTTACCCCAGAAAGTTCACAATCTTTGAAATAAATTTCATGTAAGTAATCCCCAGCAATATTATTTAAAACTATTTGTTCCTAACTTTTCACATTAATGTTTCTTTGAGTTTAGTTTTAATCATTATTAATGTACTAGTTAAATCCCTCAAAATTTAAAAACAAGCACTTTTTTTCCACAGAGTAATAAATCGTGCATCTTTGTTTTCATTAGTTTCCTTTTTTAGTTTGGGGTTTTTAAATCATGCCTTGTTTTGTTTTTGTAGTAATGCAAATGACAACTTTTGAGTAAGTTTAGGTGGTTTTGGTTGTATTGAAGTATGTATTTTGAAAGTGAATTATGGTACACATCTGTCAAAGTGAAGGCCTTTTCAGCACTGGATATGATAGATTTTTTATGGCTGACATATTATTACATATTCTTCTCTACTTTCACTCACAAGTTCCTTGAAAATGTTATCAAAACATTAAAATACCCATGATGGAGATTCATTTAACACATTGATAGATAGTATAGTAAAATCATCATATTTACAGTCAGTATTTAATATTTCAGTACAGATTAGGAATATGATTGTGCTTTATTTCAAAATCTACAAATTCTAAGAAATTTATACTTATTGCATAGGTACTCACATAAGTGAGTGTGCCTTTTTTTTAATTCAATAAATTTACCCCATTTCAGTTATAGTGTAAGTTAGTGAAAACAATCTCCCAAATAATAGATATTTTGTGAAATAAATGATCTGGTTTTACAAATTCTGTAATTGGCTTTTATAGTTTAATTTTTTATTTATTTTAGTGAGATTTTACAGCTAGAACAAATTTTCAAGTACTGAAAATCTGTCACTTATTTCATTCATTATTTGTTAAAAGACTTGCATAAAAATTAATATTTCTGTTTGTTTTTTATATACAACAAATGTAGAAATTAGTTTTCTTCATTGTTTGTTTTTGACTTTTTTTTAAACTTTCATAAATTTTATTAGGCATTATATAAAAGAAACATTTGAAATCACTTTTATGAGAATAACACAAACACAAATTTTCAGTCACCATTCATTTCTTTCTTTCAATATTTCTAGATTTCCAAGATAACTAAGATACATATTATTTTTGAAGCAAACAATAAAGAAGTGAGCTGGAAAAAATGAAACAGTGTGCCAGAAAACAACTTCACATTCAACATAAACATGATAAGTTTTTAAACCTGTGTCAGACTGTTCAGAGATTAAAGCTAAAATCAGTGTCTTAACTATGGTAACTGTAACAGTTGTTTACATATTTTTATTTAGTTCAACAAATGATGTCTTTTACCTGTATGTTATGGTAGAAGATGAACTTTGACTTTCATATAATTTTTGTACATTATGTTCATTATACCAAACCCTAGTCTCATGTGAAAATAATTGATCAGTTGAATGCAATTGATTAATAAGCAATTAACTGATGATCACATTTCATTAATTTCCCAGTACAAGTTAAGTGTAATGTAAATGTACAGATTACTGTCTTTTAATTGCTAGTTTAAACAGGATTGTTCAAAACTGCTGTTTTTATTGGGGTTTCAAATTTTCAGACATTTTATATTCTTTTCCTAAAGAAATAGCCTTTAAAGATTAGGTTAACTTTAACCATTTAAATTTGTTTTTATAATCAGTAAATATTGAAATAGTTATTTTTTTAGATCTAAACAAACATAAAAGTAGAATCTTGTTTCTACATACCTAACTTGATAGAATAAACAACACTGTATCATGACATAAAAACAAATATATATGGAACATCTAATGAAATTTCATAGAATTAATCACTATTGATTTGATTGCCTTCTTTATGTTCAGGATCATTTCTGAATATTCCTGTACTGGGAGTGGTCCTTATTGGTTAGTAAAAGTGGATATTTACAAATCATTCCCATCAGGTCATGCATCACTGTCTTTTTATACATCAGTATTTGTCAGTGTAAGTATAGTAGTTTATATTATTTTACTTACTTTTATTTATTTAGTTAAAAGTAATATAACTTAATGGATAGGAGCATTACACTTTTCAATAAAATGTAAAAAAACAACAGGTTCATTGAAGATATTTTAATTATCATCAAACGTTTTGACAATAGATTATTTAAATTTGTTTTTCTTTCTTTAAGTTATATGCATTGATGTTTTATTTTGTAGTAAGAACAAATATTTCATGTGAAAAAAAAATTAATGGAAGTTTATTATTGATTATGAATTTAAAGCTGCTGAAACATGAGTATGGGTTTCATAAAATAACTCTACCAAGAGTAGATGTAGATGCCTTGAACATGTGATTATGTCTACTTAAGGTGGTCTACAATTGAATTTAATTTTAAATTTGGGGAAATGTTGTTTAAGATGGCAACATTTTTAAAAGAAGAGAAGTTGCTAGAAGTATGAAAAATTGATTCAAAAAATAGTTGTTTATTTATCAACTGTGGATTGAACCATTCAATTACATTTATAACCTGATAGTACATCTTATAGATAAAAAAAATTCAGATCCACCAAAGGTACATATATTAACTTGTTGGTATTATGCAAAAATGTTGGAAATCATCTTTGTAATAAAGTTGTGTTGTCTTTACTATGAACCAATCACAGCCCAGTGGTTAGTATGCCAGACTATGGATGTGAGGTAACTTGATTTTTGATGGTCCTGCCTTCAAAGTTTTGCCATTACAATCAAGAGAATAGGCAAGTTTCCACAGTCAGATTTGATAGGTTTAATATTTATAAGGTTCGTTTAAGCCATACTGCAGACTTGCAACTATATACATATACTCCTCAATAGTAAATTTTGGTTAACCCTGACCATGCTCTGTCATGAGATGTCTGCAAAACTGCATCAGTATCTTTGATAACCTGCTGCCAGTATTACTGGCAGGTGGCAACAGGCTGACCCCAATCACACTGTGTTAGGGCTTAGGGGATTTTGGCAAGACTGCATTGATCTCTTTGATGACCTGAGTGAGAATCACCATGTCCAGTATCAAAGAAGCTGTCATGGTAGGGAAGTTTTCAATATTTGGCTACAGGGTAGGTATCTAGAAATTTTAAGTAAAGCTGCTGACAAACCTGGTGACTTTTATTGGAATTGAAAATTAAGTGTAATAAGTAGAGTGAAATTGTGAAGTGAATAAAAAACTTGTAAATCCATATACACATGCTGAATGAGTTCAAGAGGTGAGATTGCAGGCTTTCAGTTGCTGTCAAATTCCTAAATACTTGAAACAGTAATAAAGACATTTTGAGTCAGACATCTGTCAAAACTTATTTGAGAATATGTATTGTAGTAAAAACATCAAAAAATATATGGTATATCAGTGTACTTGCTCAGATTTTTAATTTATCTCTTTAGAATTTTGTTTTTTGTATTTGAATATTTGGGATGATTTACATTATATTGTGTTTACCCTATTTTTATTTTAGCTCTATGTTCAAGTTCGAATTCATCGTACTTCAAAGTCACATCTATTAAAGTCGTGGTTACAACTGTTATTCCTTTCCTGGGCTTTAGTATGCAGCTTGACGAGAATATCTGATTATCGTCACTTTTGGTGGGATGTTTTAGTAGGCTCCTTGGTGGGAATCGTAGGAGGAATTTTAACGGTGTGTTATTCTTGTGTAATAAATTATAATAAGTCTTAAAATTAACATTTATCATTGTAGTATTTGCACAAACATTAAATGCTACATTTGTTTAACTGTCCCCAAAATTAGATAAATCTTGAAATGAAAATTAAAACAAACTTGTTTTCCTTTTAGGCAAACTGCAATTAGATAAATCACTAAACAAGTAACAAACCTTTTCATTAAACTGTTGGAACTATTGTAAAAATTAAGATTTTTTGCAATATTTGTTGTAAAAGTATCTTTTATTGTTCAGTTCATGCTTCTAATCACTCCATTAGCTTCTAGTGTGTGAATCACACATCTATTGCATTAATTGTAAGGAAACTATGGTCCCCTAGTTGTCAACCTACTTTCTACTCTCCTTCCATCCTAAATAAATAAGTTGTCGTAAGAATCCAAGTTGATTGCAAGAGTAAATGCTGGCTGTAAGTGATGGTAGCCCACTAGGTTAAGTCCAGGTCTATTAATACCAGGGATATTGTGGACAGGATATGTCAAGGTTGGATGGATTTTGAACATAATTATAAATAAGTTCAACATACAAATAAAGTTTTAGGTTTTGTTGACTTTTGATGGTCATGGGTCATAAGTCAAAACCAGTTAAATTGGGATATTTTAAACATACAGCATGACATTAGTATGAGCATAAGTGTTTTATGAAAACAATTTGCAGTTGTTTGTCATATTTTTTCTGAAGTCTTAGCATTTTTTCTGTTAAATAAAGAATTGCTGTGCAAGTTTATTGTATTGATTTGTGTTTTAATTCATTTCTAAGTTATTCCTTTTCCCTAGGTCAGATGTTTTGTACAGAATGGCTTCAAATTCAGGGAAAACATAGAAGTAAAAGACAAAACTGTTAGCTCTGGAAAAACTAAAGAATCATCACCTAACAAGCCTCCTGACAGTCATGCATCTGACCAGGAAAGAACTGTTATTGAAAAACATTCTGCTTATAAATCTGAGAGAGAGAAAATGTTAAGTTAACATTGTGGTCTAATAAAATAATCATATCAAAAAATAATTAAGACTAGTATATATAGTTAAAATTGTGAAGAAACCAAAATGTATGTATGGCACATTTATAGCTTTAAAGTTAAAAAAATCCTCAGTTATTACAAAATTGCAACTACTAGAAAAAGGTTAGTGAAATTCAATAGACAAATAATATAAAAAATATAATATAATGTAAAAGGTTTCTAAATATCACCTATATAGCCATAATCACTGTATCAATATACATTATCTTTAGCATATAGAAAATGTATATGAAGTATTAAGGAGTTTAAGTGCATATTGGAGACTAAAAATGTCAAAGAAATGACCTAAACTGTTTGTAAGACATCATTGGCTTTATGTCTAATGTTTTGTTTTTACGATTTCTTCAAGGATCTTTACTACAATGTAATAATTCAAAACATACAGAACAGAATAACAGATTTTCATTAATTGTGTCAATTTTTTATTTAAATTAAAGAAAAACAAATATCAGTATCATGATTTACAATTGCTTTGAGGAAGAAAAGGGTTATATAAATAAAGTTCAAATTAAACTAGGTGCTACATAATATATAAATATTTTTATCAGTACTTGTGTATAATGTTAAAATGATAAATATACAACGTTAAATGATATCAAAGTAATGACTACATGTTTTCATATGATTTTAATTGTGTATTGATTTTAATGTATAGTTATTATTTTAGGTGCTACATAAATCAAATTTTATTAAGATTGGCAAAATATCATTCTAAGTTACATCCTTTCTGTTAAAATAATGTTCTTGATTCTGAAGTATGAGAAACATTGAATAGCAAATATTACTGTTATCAGTGTCAGATAAGATACTATGTTTTGTACCTTTTATGTTGTTGTGCTTCAGTATATCTGTTCCTGAGAAGTTACAAAGATTAAATGTTAGAAATATAACTAACATTTATCTGAGCCTTAGCTTGTTCTTATAGAAAATTTACTTAGCAGCTGAACCTTTAAAATGTATAAGTTGGTTTGTGTGTTCTATATGTATGTATGTATGTATGTGTATACACACACACACACACATATACCTGTGAGTGTGTATGGTTTTAATTTACTGAGGTTAAAATTTGATTTGGTGATCACAAACACATGTATATATATTTACCTGTGTTTTCTAATTTAAAACCTGCATCTGAAATATCAAAATTAGTGAGGTTAAAATTTGATTTAGTGATCACTATTAGAGTACTGATTTAGTTGTTGTTATTTGAAGGTTTAATTTAATTTCAATGTGTAGAGAATCATTCTTTGTAAAGAAGTAGAAACATCAAACAATATTTGCATAGCCAACATGATTATTCTTAAAATTGTTAGAATTTGCATTAACAACTTACATTTATCATACATACGTAGCAAAACTTTCTTTAAAATATCACAGTAATTGTATATCCCATGATTTACAACAGTAATGTTTTGTTGAATTGAAATGTCGTATAGGTGTTTTAATATGTTAATAGAGAGATTACAGTTTGTATTAATTCCATTTATATATGTTCTACTTGTTAAAGGTGAAATATGTCTGAAATCTACATGTCTTGTGCAATATCATTTTAGTATAATTTACAATCAATTTAGTAATTCATAAATATATATTTTTATGAGGTTCATAGAATATGATGGGAATAAGTTTGATTATGCATTGAAAACTTTTTCTCACTAAATAAATATTTTGATGACATATTTGTGTTTTTTAATATGTACTTAATGTTAAGTGTTTCTCGATATTTTGTTTTTCCTTGAATTAAGACTTAAACAGTAGTTCAATTTCAACTCTAGGTAATTTGACAATTTATTAGCCCCTTTTGCTGGTGGGATGTTTTCCATCAACTCTCTTCTTTGTATATTGATTATTATAACCTCATATGACTGATCACAGTTGTTTGAGTCATTTTATCATAAGAACTATTTATATTTATTTAACCACGAAAAAGAATTGGACTTACCCTGCTTTTCATTAGGTTGGATTCTGTACTAGACAACAAATTCAGTAATGGAAATATTAGCATCTAAGACTATAAAACAAAATAAAGTCTGTGATACATAACATCTTTGACAGATAGGTTAAATAGCAAAGGTATCAGACTGATGAATCAGTGCTTTTTAATCATTTCAGATTTTTATCTCTCCATATTTTATCAACATTATGAAGTGAATAGTCACTGGCAGAATTAAGCTAAACTAAGACTTTTCAGCTAAAATAGTCATGTTTAACCCTTTGAATAAGGCTTCTTTAAACGCGATTTGAATGTTTGCGAGCCGTACATCGTATACAGCACGCTCACATTCAACTGCTAAAGGACTGTACCATGTATGGCAAATCAGCAATCATTGAGTTAATATTCATGGTGTCACTACAAGACATAAAAACACGCACTTGGACAAACCTAAGCGAAGTAAAACGTTCCACAGTTAAATACATTTACTGAACTTGACAGTTTCCAACAACAGTAACTACATCTATTAACACCATCAATCCTAACTGTGTAGTGGTCGAGCTGCTGTTATTCATATGCTAGATATCTCTCGGTGAAACTGCTTAATAGCTCAGAAAGTAAGGGTCATGATCAATGTTCCAACTAGTTTTTTCAACCTATGTGCAGAATGAATTCTTTCATGTGCACCAGTATCAAGGCAATATGCAGATATGCACTACCAGTTTGTTTTGTTTTTTAGGGGGGGGGGGTGTATTTTTAGACTATCAACCCTATTGAATCATTAGGCCACTTAGTAATGCTACCAGTTGGTTATTTGGTCTTTAGGCCTATCGACTGCCAGGGTCATTAAGGTTGTTAGTGTGTTGAGACTCCTCACCATTACTGAGGATGTGCGCAGCTGGAATAATTAAGTGCACAGCATTTGATTGGTTGTTGTGTTGCTGCACAGCTTAGAGGGAACAGTAGTCATAATGCCATTTTGGTTGCATTGATCCTGTGATCAACAAACTGCACAGCTTAGAGAGAACAGTAGTCATAATGCCATTTTGGTTGCATTGATCCTGTGATCAACAAACTATTTTAACCTTGTAATAATTAAGTGACCACACAATGTAGTGCATACTTTTACCGTGGAACACCACTTGGTAGCTCAAATAGCAAGGACCACCACTTCCTTTTAGTCATCGAGCTTACACTTAAGTGACTGTCCTATTTGCTGGACTTTACCATTAATCCCAACCATGTAGATCAGAAAATTGAGGTTGGCTGACCTCAAAAGATATCTATGAGGAGGATGCTTTGTAAAAGGATATGAAGTATTTGGCGAGTTGAGTGAATAAATGGCAGATGGCTTTTAGTAATAGTAAATGATAGGTATTACATGTGGGATATTATAATTTGAATTCTGAGAATAATTTTGATGGGATTAATTTTACCAGTGTTATAAAAAAAGGGGGGGGGATCTTAATGTTCTAGTTGATCAGTTTATCATACCATCCAAACAATGTGTTCTTGTAGAGGCAGAGAATATAGGGTTTTAATTTTTAAGTACATAAATATTGAATACAAGTCTAAAGAGGTTATAGTTTCATTGTACAGGTCATTGATTTAGCTGTATTTGGAGTATTACATGCAGTCTTGTGCTCCTTACCTAAGGAAGGAAATTGAATTATTGAAAAGGGTTCAGAGGAGGGCTACTAAGATGATATCTGGGATGGAAATGTTTGTCATATGAGGATAGGTTAAAATCCCCGATTCTTTTTTTTTTAAAAAAACTCATCTTTCATTCATACCAATGGTGAGAATGGTAAGGCTAGAGGACAGAAATGTAAATTTGGCAGGGTAGAAGTCATCTTTGATCAAAAAAGCTTTATTTTCCAAGGATGGTGGTTCTTCAGAATGAGTTGCCTTCAGATGTGGTGGTTGCAGTTAATTTAAGGGCGTGTAAGGGAGGGAGTGATAAATATTTGAATGATAAAGGCTGTAATTGGGTATTTCATTTTTATATTAAAATCTAGTTTAGTGAATGGGACAGCCTGGATGGGCTAACAGGTCACTCGTTGTCTTTAAATTATATGTAATACTTCATATCTAAACTTCCTCCTCACTAATTGAGTCATCAAAATGATACAAAACAATATTCTCACTATCTTCAGATTTACCAATCTCAATTTTTGATTCCTAGTCTTACCAGTACATGAGAGGTTTGCTACTAACACGTGGTCTTAGTTTGTCAATGTCTTCAATGCACTGGTGCCACTCTACTATTGTAATTTGACAGATTAACTTGTCAGGGGGCTAGGTACGAGCCTGTTCAGCCAGAACTGAGTTTGTTCTGTGTCACTGGTGCATACCAGGACATTCATTCTTTAAATGTTTCATCATAACATCTCTTCTGCCTAATGGCTGTTGATGAATGAACTCATTCAACCCAACTAATAGACTTTAACCGCCCCACATATTATTGTGAACACTATAGGGAACTCAGCCGTATTCCTTGACCAAACACACATATTTGGCAAACAACCAGTTACTATCGGCTTTTTTTTTACAAGATATGTCATCATGCATGTTAATTGTTCATTCTGGTCAATTCTGTCAGGATTAACAAATTTTGCAACCACCTGCTTGATAGTTTGTATTATCCATTCTTTCAAACCACCAGGCTGGAGGGTAACAACTAAGCTAGCTATTGAAATAAGCTTTCTGATCCACGTGAATCACTTCATGTGCACAGAGTTCGTGATAGACTCTGCTGATGGATCGGCCTGTAAGTAAACCTTGGCCCACTTAGTGAAGAAACTGATAATCACCAGTACATTTTGATTGGTTGTTTCGTTTTTCTAGTCAAGACTAGTGCCATCCAATGGAGAAGCAACAATTCTTTCGAGACTAGTTGTTTATTTATTTATTGGTTTATTTCTTTTCTTCACCAAAAGAATTTCATAGAAAAAAAGCTAACATAGAAGCCTAATATGTTCTTCGATTTTCTACTTCTGCTGCAGAAGACTAGTTTCACTGAATTTACAGCTTCAGTATCTGAATACTAAATCTAAAGTCCTGAACTACTGGGCATTTTCCAATGCATCCAGTGATTTGCTTGTCGGCAAGAGTGTAAAGGCATCAAATTGAGTCCCCATGTTCACCTATCTTAAGTCACCACAAAACCTTGGCATACCCTTCTTGGTTATGATAATCACCACTGGAGGTAGCCATACGGCTTGTGAAAGCTGTATGATTCTGTCCTTTAACATCTACTGTATCTGGGCGCTTGCTATATCCATAATACTCCAATGATGGTTTTTTAAACCTAAAATGTGTTTATTCATCGTACCTGTTGTAGAGTTTTTCTTGCATTGAAACAGAATAACAAGAGGGACTTTTTACCTTTTATGGAGCTTCTGAATTTTTTTTTATAAGTAATATTTTTATGAATTTGCAGTTTTGAAATGTCGAAAAGATTTCATTGTGATGTGTGTGTGTTTTT